CTTCCACTGAGAGCTGCTTTATAGCTTTGGCTTATAATGCTTGGCACAGCTCCAACCACGGTCCCTCTAGCCCATGAACACTAATAGTACTGCATCCATGACTAATTAAATCTAAAAGTCACATGGCCGAAATGGACATCAAAGGTCACCTAGTCCAGACCCCTTGCCTCAGGCACTCTTACATTTAAACACTCTTGATAATCATGCATAGACAAAATTCAACCAGCTAAGAACCTTAGTAAATGTCTCCTTTCCATCCAAACTAGTCTTTCTATCCAAATGACATCAAAAAGAATGAAATAAAGTGTGTCACTTCTCAGAATCCTTAAAGCACTTTCTAACTAAAATACCAAGGAACTCTAGGAATAACTCAGAGTTACCCTGTGACAAAAATTTTTTTTAAAGTGTACCTTCTGATCAATGAGTAACATTTAAATAGTTGAGCCAATGACTCCTCACAGCAGAGTCATTGCAAGCAAATAGCCTGTAGGCCATGCAGCCACAGATGTGCTCTGTTTAGAATATACAGTGTTTTGTTTTGCTTTCATTTTTTAAATTGAATAAGTCATCAACATTTAAAAATCAAGATATTCGTGTCTTCTCTTGATCAAAGGATGATCTGGCACACTTGGCACATGGTGCTACATGGGCAAGAATTAGCTAGGTAGTGGTTAAGGGTAGTGCCCCTGAGAGCCAAGCCTGACTTCTCCAGGCCACCTCAATCCCCACTCAGCCTGCTGCCTGTATTCGTGTTACTTCTCTGCTCTCTGTAGGCCCTTGAGTTTAGGATCTCATCTCCTATAGCCTTAGAATATATTCATGGGTCCACTATAAAATCAGATTTCCTCTCCTTCTAAAGGTAAATTACCTGTACAAAATAATGTAGCACATAAATGTCCAATGAGGAAATAGATCACACTACCACAGCCCCAATATAATTCCAGTTCTTGTCTTTCAGCTATTTCCTTTCCCTTTCTTATTAAACTGATAGTCTCTATTGTGTTTCCCTCAGAAAAGACCCAATATAGTCCAATCCCTCTTCAATTTTATCTATGATTTCTCCTGCCTCCCACCCAGATGGCATCTTCTAACCCTGAATATCTCAAAATGAACCGCAGTACACACTTTGAGTTACCATGATTCTAATTAACCCAAGTTAAAATCTGTATTTCAAAATCCAATATTCCTTCCACTCTCTCAATACTATTAAAACCTCTTTTCTTGGTCAAGAGAATACAGCTATTTTAAGCTGCTGAAATTTGCCATCTGAAATATGTACACAGATTGACTAAAATTAACCAAGTAAATTTTGAAAAGTTATAAGTCTCTTTTATCACATTTAATAAGTACACACGCTTGGAAATTAGAATCAAGTAACAACTTTTATACTAAATTCAGGATTTGGGGGAAGCAGAGGATATCAATGTAACAAGGAAATAATGTACTCAAGAGCAAAGTACATAATTATTAGTCAGAGTATTTAACAATACTTCATATTAATCATAACACTTAAAAAAACAATACTATTTTATTCTTAAGGAGAAGTCTGCTGTCCATATCTCTGGGAACAGAAAAAGCAGCAATACAGATTTAGAACGTTTGAAAAGTCAGGTTCTCTGTAATCGTATTATTCCTCTCAATTAAATCAAGCATACACATTCAGAAAGCAAAGATAGATCTATGGACATTTTTAGAAGGAAAACTAAAAAGACAAAGACCACTTTTTTCAAAAAGTTTAACTACTGAATTATAATAATTCATACTGTTGAAAGACTACACATTCTACCTGTACAGAGACACACTGATACCAAATTGACATAAATAAGCTGCCAGTTCAGAAGTGAAATGGTAGAGGAGGGTGTCAAAACATCTAGATAAAGGAAATCATCAATATAAACTGAAAATCTAACGCTACCAATTGTTTAGACATGTCTGGACTTGTTTTATGAAAGCTCACTCCCACTTGAGGAAATTCTAGCATGTCTCCCATTGTTGCCTACAGATTTCCATCAAAGGCCCTTCACAAGAAGCCCTCTTCCAGAGGTGATAAAATCCCCCAAATTGAAGAAAAAAATTCTCACCAGGTACAGACTTACCCATTATCGCATTTATCTTTATAATTTTTAAAGTACAGCTAAATCTTCCAAAATTCTTATAATATTCAACAATCAAAATGATGTCAACTCCCAAAAAGAATGCATGACAATTATATCAGGTATTAGTATGCTTGCAAACAAAAGTTAACATAAAATATAAATCTAAAAGAAACAAACCCAAACCTTCAGTGAAAGCACGAATGGTGGAATATAGAGAGACCAAAGCATATGTGACTCAGATCCATTTCACTACTGCGTTAGATTAAAAGAAACTAACTTGACGGCTGATGTAAAAATTCTTCAGGTCATAAAAACCAATCTATTTGATGCTTCAAATGGCATAAATGAAGGATTTATGGTGACTAATGTCCCGGTTTGGAAAGGTCTGAAGGGACAATAAAGAAAAATCAAAGCTTCATGGTGTACCCTGTTTAAAGAAAAATAATGATCATGGCATAGTTTTCGTGGTTGGACTGGGGCCTACCCTTCACATACTGTGTTTAAGACAATCACTTTCTCATCTGGAGAAATCTACAAAAAGAACAGTGTAAAGGAAAAGGTTGCTGGCACCCCAGCAAACTAGGTAAGTCTGTAATTGGAAATTCTGGAAATGAGGGAAAGACGGTGAGCATTATTCAGAGGCCATCAGAACGCAGCCAGATGGCATGAGAGAAAAACAGAAAAATAATCAGCTGAGGTAAGGTATATCATATAAGGAAGACTCTAAAGAACGCCGGAATCTGGGGGAGACGAGGCCTTGCTAAACTGGCGAATGTTTTCCAGTCTCAACGGTGCCTAACCCTAGGGCCTCGCTTACATATTGAATGAAAGCTACACATACTTCAGCATCGCCCACATATACCTTACATTCCTAAAATGTGCATGCATACACACAAGCGCGCACACACACGCACCTCAATCTCAAGGATGCCATCACGAAAGATGGAATCCCGTCTCCCAGGAGAGGGGGGCGGCCAGCGCGAGGGCCAACGCAGCTGCCCGCCTAGATGATCCAAATGGAGCACGTGAAAGTCTTAAAAACAAACAGATAAATAAAAGCAGCGCAAGCCTGTCACGTGAAGGGCAGGTGGAAAGATCGCAGCAGAAAGGAACCGCTAGTCCCCGCAGGTCCTAGCTCTTCCTCAATGCCCCGAGGCTCCAGATCGCCCGCACTTACCGGAACCCCGCGGACGCACCGGGGATCTGGGCGCCGCGTCCGCCAGGGACGCCCGCCGCTGTCTGCCCTGCGCGCCGGCTCGGCCGGGCTCAACCCCGCCTCCCTCGGTGCAACTTTCTCAGCTGGCCCCAGCCGAGCCCTCTCCGCAGCTGAAGGCTGACTCAAAAGTCAGTCCAACCCGACCCACAGGGAAACAGCTGCAGGAAGTGACTGCGGAACCAGGAGGCGGGGGAAGAGGAGACTGAAGGCGCCTGCCCGGCGTCGCCACTGCGCATGTGCTTGGCGGAGCTGGCTCTGCGGCGCAGCGGCGGCGGCGGCGGCGGCGGCTCCAGAGGCTCCAGCATCCCTGGCGCGCCGGGTGCCGGGTGGACAGGTACTGACACTGCGAGCTCAGCAGCGCTGGGCGGGAATGGTAGACAAAGGTGCAAGTCAAAAGGAGAATGCACCACCGCCAACGCCAGTGGACAGGTCCTGAGAGCTGTTCGTCATATAGCCTGGAAAGTTGATTCAGAGCAGAAGCCTGGCCAGAGCTATTCCAACTTTTATCTACTGTCATTGAGATCCAAAGCCTTTTCATTCCAGCCGCGCCCTCAGTCTGCTGTTTGTCGGCTAAAGTTGCTGAGTGGCGCTCCCAAAATGTCCAGGATCCTTTAAACTGCACTTTTCCCCAGGATGGAGGAAGCAGAGTGTGGCTACCTGCTTAGTGGTCTCAAATCGTACTAGTGCGCGCGCACGCGCGCACACACGTACATACACATACACACACGTACACACACACACACACACACACCCTTTTGCCCTATCCCCTACACTCACATGGGAAAGACATAGAGAAGACATTTTCCTGACTCCTGAAGCATCACGTGCAAGACAGGAAAAACCAGAAAGAGATTGGCTAACGCTAGAATGTCACATCCTCTTATAGTCAACTTTGACACCTTCAGGGTTGACATTGAGAGATAAGCTGAGGAAATTCCAGCTCTAAAATTCTATTAATTTGTAAATTCTCCCATAGGAAAATTTTCAGGGAGGGGGTATTATGGTAAAATATAAATGTTTACCACTCTTCATCATTTTAAGTGTACGGTTCAGTGTCATTAAGTACATTTACATTGTGTGCTTATTTTTTAACTGCTTATTTTTTAATCGTTAGTTAAAATGTCAAGGAGATCTAAGTATATAGCAAGATGTGCCCTAGTAATGGGCAAACTACTACAGGAAATTAAAGCTGTTTGGCTGAAAACACCATCCAATGCCACTACTAAAAAAACAGGTAAGCTGTTTTCCAGAAATGACTTCATAAACACAATGATTGTTTAGCAACCATACACACACAGCTAGTGTACACAGGCCATTTGGGGCGCATAACAGGTCGTGCCTGAGTTGAAAACAATTTATCTGAATTGATTCTCCTGTTTATGTATGCATACTGTAAGTGTTAAAATTCTAAATGGCTACATTGTTTTTAAAATAAATGCTGCTGAAATCCACTCTTCAGCCCTTTTACTGCATGTTCTTTAGCCACTTGACAATCAACACTGTTTAGCTAGGACCACAACAGGGCCCCGGCTTACCTTTCCAACCTAACCTCCCATCAGTTTCCTAAACACTGAACAAAACAGAATCACTCACATTTACTTACTGGGCCCTCCTTATCCATGCCACTCACTTTCCTGCCTCTGTGATTTAGATCTACAGGTTGAGTGCAAAATGCTCTGGCCCCCAACCCTGCATTTCCAAATTCTACCTATCCTTCTAGGCCTCTTTTCTAATGAGCTTCCATAGCACTTTCTTTGCACACCTTGCTAACATGCCTATTATTTATTGCCTCATACTATACTTACTTAAAGAGATTACTCATCTGCCCTATAAACTCTTCGAGTGCAGGAAGGATACATGTATTAGAGTTTTCACATTTTTATTTTACTGTTTTATGCCATTTTTTATGTCAGGGTAAAAATCTGAAATATTAACTGAGGTACCCCACCCTATAGCTCTGCACATAGATACATTTCCATGTCCTCTATACCTAGTCATATACTTTTCTCAGACAATGAGTGCATTTCCTTCCCTGACTCAGGGAGTAATAAGAAGGCAATTCTCTAAGCTTTGCTTAATAGACATTTGAACCTCATGGCAGTAACAATAGTCTCATAAATCAGAGGTTTTGTGTTGAAATAGCTGTACTTCATGAGTTTCAGCAAGAAAAAATAAATTAGACCACAATGAATTGGTCATTTTGCTGTAAAAGCAAACAACCACAAAGTCTCAATGGCTTATGGCCACATAGGTTTATTTCTTGTTTATATTACATGCTGCGGGGCAGCTCCCTGGGTCTTGTTCCAGGTCCCGAGCTGAAGAATCAACCCCTATGTGGGACTTAGCAACTCTCATGGCAAATGAGAAAAGCCAGAGAGCTGGGAGAAACATGTGAGACCTCTTAAAGCTGCTTCCCTAATGTATCACAACACATCCACTCAAATTCCATTGGCCAAAGCCTTTCATATAGTCAAACCCCAAGTCAGTGGAGAAGTCAACTGCTTCCATAGGCAAATTACATGGCAGTGGGCATGTATTATAATCTATAATCTTCTTACAAGAGGATGGGGGGGTGGCTAATTGTAAACAATAATGTAATCTGCCACAAACACAGGGGAACAAATTTTCTCACCCAAGAGGTATTGGTGTATATCCCCAAGAAGTTTATACCTCCCCCTACCCCCAGTCCCAAGGATTAGCTTGAAAGAAGCTATGGAGATAGCTCTTCAGTCCTCGACAGCTTAGATGAGGCCCACCCACACTGGGAGGGCAATCTGCTTTACTCTACCAATACTCAAATGCTATTCTCTTCCAGAAATACCCTCAAAGACACCAGATATGTGAGCATCTTGTGATCCAGTCAAGTTGACACATAAAATTAACAATCACATGATGTGAGATAATTAATGCTGTTTTAAGATGTTAAATTTGGGCTAATTTGTTGTGCAAAGATCCCTAATAGATGCCTCTCCCTTTTCAAAATTCTTTAAACTACACAGATTATTTGATAAAAATAAAAATATATATCTTACTTTTTTTAAGTTCTTGCCTGCTCTTTGTTGTTAATACTTTCTGATTAACTTTAGAATCACACTGTCAAATTCCTCAAGATAAACTCCCTTGAGATTTTCATCTGAATTGTAACAAATCTATAAATTAATCCAGAGAGAAGCTAAAATTTTACAATATTCTCTTTCCAACCACTCTACAATGATTCAAGACTCCCTTGTCCTCCAATAAGATTTTGTGATTTTTTTCATCATAGGTACAATATTTGATATATTATCACTATTATTCAAATAGGGAAAATATGCTTTTTTGTTTAGTAAATGAAAACTATTTTATTTTAAGTAATTATTGCTGGCATATAAATATAGTCTCATTATACTCAAACATTTAAAGTAACTTTATTATCTGCTTGTACTATTACTAAAATTAC